ACATCTCTTCCCAATGACAGAGTGAGCCATTGAGAGGAATCCCCGAGGAGAACCCCGTCTTCATCAGAGCTCACCACAGGGCAGTGTCCTGGGACATGGAGAGGGTAGGGCAGGTTCCTCTCTGAGGGAGGGGATTCGCTACCTCTTGGGAGAAAGCAGGGGAACCCTGACTGGACATTTGTGACTGGAATGGTGTTGAGATGGTCAGAGATTGGCAGCAACTTGTATTTGATCAGTGAAAGGAAATCCCTGAGGCCTCCTCAGTGCTTGGCTCAGTGCTAGGAACCCCGAATACAGTGGTGAATAACACATTCTCCCAACTGTCCTGGGGCTCTCAGTCTAGTCAACAGGAAGTCATGAGAAAAAAGTGTAGTGGTGGTGGGTTCCTTGGAGGAAATGGCCAAAGCTGCCTGGTGATGACCTCGGTGATTGTTCTGGTCTCCCTCTGTGTTTTCCAACAGCTGGGTGACCTGTCCTGCCCAATGACCCAGGGCCTCAGCCAGATTTCAGCCTCCTGGGATACAACAGACACCTGGGTTCTATGTTGGTCCAAAGCAGTCAACACTGCCAAGGTCTCCAGAGGAAACGGCTGGTATCTGTAGCTATTACCCACTATGTCTTGGCCAGCTGGAGAAACAGAGGCAACTTCCCTAAGTCTTACAGGGTCATCCTCTCCATAATGACCAGTGATGACCCATCTCCTCTAAGTTAAATGCTTTCCAGATTTCAATATTCTTTCTTCTCATCAAAAATAATGTAAATATTGCCCATGTTCCTACAATTGTAGAAGTGGGCAATTTTATCCTCAAATTGTAGATCAAGAACTAAAGTAGGAGGGAGTAAAGCAAGTTTATGAGGAGAAGGAAGGGGCCTGGGGCTAAATTCCTTGCTTTCTGGTTCCTCGTGGTTGATGAACACAATGACTTTTATACTCTTAGAAACAATAAAATAGTACCTCTGTTTTGCTCCTCTATGTACCCCATTCATTTGTCTCTTCTATAACAAATCTGCTTATCCAGACAACTTGGCACCTAAATTAGGTGAGCTCCATGAGTGCACTTACAGTGCCCCTGAGGGCAAAGCCAATTACACTGGGGGCTCCAGAGGGAAGTTATACAAACCCTTCCGAAAGAGAGCCTAAAGATGACTATTCCCAGGTAGCCCTGGTTATCTGTAGATGAGAACATCTATATGTGACCTGCTATTTCTGAACTTACTTGCAGAAAATCAAAATGGTCTTGAGGAAGGAAATGGACAACCCCCAATATGCCCCAGGTAACTCTTGAGGATTTCTGGGCTGTGAATTTTTCTAGTGGCACCTGGAGACCTTAGATCCAGGGAGAAACAGAAAGTATTGCATACAACCATTCCATCCATTCAGCAATGGCAGAATATCCCTTTGAAACATATCATCTATATTCACGTGGTAGTTGTGTAGGTCTCTATTTCTTACTCTCTCTCCTGTTGAGTAACCTACAGACAGTGGACACACATGAACTGACCCAACCCAGGGATTCTTGTAATCAGGTCTTCTCTCCTGCGTGGGTAAGACCCAGGTGAGATGCATATCAGCATTATGTCTGTTTGGCATCATCATGCTGGCAGGTTTTTTGATAGCAAGAGTGGAAATTGAAGAATAAATTCATGTTATATCACATGTTGAGAAAATGGTCCCTGTAGTCAGAATATCTAAGAGTCCATAAGGCCTCAGGAACTTTATTTACTTGGACACTCCATGTGAAAGTCAATGCAATGTAAACAGAAGGGTTGAAGCCACTATATGCTGTGTCCTGGGAGTCATGACTTTAACACACAGGGAGAGGTTAGTCTCCTCCTCCGTCACCTGCTTCTGAGGCCGGTACACAGAGTATCTGCTCTTCTGTCTCTCTCTACTCCTCATACAGGAGGAAAGATTTTTCCCTCCAAGGGGACAGCTACTTTGCTTTCTGCGACCACTCCCTTGCTTCCCATCAACACCAGCTAGGAAGCAACCATGGTGTCTGATCCTCCTGGTTTCATCTTTTGTCGTTCTTGCCCCACCTGGCACAGCATGGAGCTTCCGGAAGCTGAAAAGAAGGAAGTCCTCCAGGACACGCTGAATGAATGTGTTTTGACTCCTTCCATTGGCCAAGAAGGGCGTGGCTGCTACCAGCCTTACAGGGATGGCACATTCCCATCAGATGAACAGGAATTCAGCTCTGCTCTGGATGTAGCCTGTGAATGCTCCCATTCCAAAGGGGATGAAACTCCACCCGGTTCCCCAGGTAGCGTCCATAATCTTTCTTGCACACACCCTGTGTAGACCAAGAGATTTAATCCGCAGAAGTGGACCATGTACTCACAGACAGTTTCCATTCAGGCTCTAGGATTGAGTTTGAAATCAGACATTCCATGAGTCAGTGAGCTTTGTTCGATTCATGTCTAAGCCATGGCACTTTTATGTCTGAGCCACCGCCCATCGCTTCTCTCAAGGTGGTCCTGCCAGACTCCTATACCTCTCTACCCCAGACACAGGAGGTCGCTATCAGACCTCCAAATTTTGGATTAATCTCTTATCTCTCTTGCCAGGCTCTGATTTCCATCCTTGAACCATGTTTTTGAATATCTATGGCCACCCAAGGCTGTTGGAAGCCTTTTCTATATCATGGGAAATGTCATGATCCAGGTTCACTGTCTCTACCTGGTCTGTCTCTTCCTTTTCTTCTTGTCTCAAGTCAGCTGAGAACCAGAACAGGACTACGTCTATCATACGTTGTATGTTTCTCTGCAGCAAGGCAGGGCCCTGGAACTTCCCGACCCCATGAACAGCCCCAGGTTCTCTGCAGCTTTGAAGATTATTTTGATTTGATGGTGTGTAGATTCCAATCGTCAGTTTAATCTCAATGGCTGATTCCTCAAAACCATTAACCTTCGGCAATTCAGATGCAAAAAGCCTGAACATTGCAGCAATGCTCTAGGAAGCAGCCAGGTCCTTCCCCAGGATCT